TTTAGCCATAATGCTGTTGTTTTCAAGGTGATGCTAAAAAGCATAATGTACAATTTTTTATGGATCATGAATCTAACTCTAGGTTGCGAGTTCACTAAACCAACCAAAAGCCGCGCGCATTTGAGTCTCAAGCAGGTGCGTTTTAAAAGTGGTGCGCCATTTATCGGGATGTCCCTCGGGAATTACGGGACAGTTTTGGGATCGCTAAGTCAATCAAATATTTTGTTACATTCTAGCCTTTACACAGACGTTCTATTTTCTCTTTCATATTAGGGATCGGCAAGCGCGCAAATCAAAATGAAGAAAACAGGGGTTTAGTGACCACTAGCGCAAGGGGGTGGGCACGCAGGTCAAATTCCTTGGGAAAAAAAAAGAAAAAGAAAGTCAGTGGAAAAAAAGAAAGAAAAACCCTTAGGAGCAGTCTAGTTATATTCCTGTTTTTTTTCGTTTTGAAAGAGAGCAATCATTTTAAGATCCAACGAAACTTGCCAATTTTACCTCAGTTTTTGTGTTGTCTAGCAAAGGCAACAGACCCTAATACAGTTTTCTAATTTTTAACTGACTAGGACATGGCTGGAAAGAACGCATGAAAATTAGACTGCAAAACAGTCGGTTTTTTCCTCTAAATCAGTAAAGAAATCGGTAAAGCGTGGCGTAGGTTTTGCACGCGCGAATCGCGCCCTGCTCGCGCGTACTTGAATACGCAAAAATACGGACTGTTTTGCAGTCTACATGAAAATCAGTGAAGCTGCCAAGTTTGAAAGTGATTTGTTGAAAACTAACGAAGACATACCCCCGCAAAGTCGCGGCAGTAAATTACAGACGCTTCAGTTGTGGGGGTAGGGGGGGCAGGTTGCGTGCCCCCTCCCCCCCTGCCAACCACCATAGAAACGTCTGTAAAATTCCGCGATTATGTGTAGCAATTATCTTCGCTCTCTTTGGACGTATCGCCTTTAAACTTGGTAGTGTCGACGGCTATTCTGCGAAAGAGAATTGTTTTTACGAGTAACAGTGTGCTACGATTTAAGCCGCTTTTCCCTTTTTTAAAGCCCATGATTTACTTTAATAAAATCTTGACATTTCCCCCCAATTACTAAGTCAGTTCATTTTAGACATTTGTCTCTACTAATAATTTACGAGCGTAAACGGTTGATGGCATTTTAAGTAACAAAAATGCAGCAACCATTCCCGTAGGCAGGTTTCTATCTAGGGTATTTAAGGGGTAGAAGCTTCCCCCCCAAAAAATACCAGCTACCCCACCCATCCCCCCCCCCCCCACAAACAATCACTATC